GCTTACACATTTGTAAAATAAGCTTAATGTTTTAATTACTTTAAAATACATGTACAGCACATTTGTGATTGATTTACATATGTATAACATCTTAAGACTATACCCAAACAGAACAACAAGTCATGATATCAAAATGATGGCAAAATGACTCCAGAATGATCATTAAAAATCATTTTTCAATCATTTCCGATTCATTTTAATGTCATTTTGATATTATCGTGATTTGTTATTCTGCTTGAGTATTTGTATGGATAGTCTTCAAATTAATTAAGATTTGTTACTTAAAATCCCTCAAAATTTTTTAACTTAAAATAAGATAGATACATATTTGAGAGTTGAAAAGAGAGAAAACGAAGATGTTGTGTACAAAAAGTACAAATAACGCGAACAAATCTTAAGAATTAATTATAGGTCTGTTCTTTTTAACTAAAGTTCTTATACAGTTCATCTTCCTTCTTTTTTTCTCTACGTTAAAGTGTTGCCGCGTTGGAGAGAGAAAAAGAGAAAAGATGAGCCGTGCAAGAAGTTCAGTTAAAAAGAATAGGCCTTATGAAGACCGGTTTTAGATGCTCATTCTCTCTCTCTCTCTCTCTCTCCTCCCCTCTTTTCCTCCCTGCTCTCATATTTTCTTTACATTGTATTTATTATTCAACATATTATGTGACAAAACATTATCACCGTTCTTCAGTCACACATTATCTCCGTTCTTCGAATTAATATACAATTTATCATATAAGTTTACAATTCAAAATTTTGTAATTTAAAATATTGTTTTTATATATATGTTTTATCTCATGTAATGAAAGTAGGAGAGTAAAAGACAAAAAGCAATAAAAGAATAAATAATAATGTTACATAATTTTAATTTGTTAACTTAGCCAATAGAAAGACAGTTTTAAATATAATGTTGACCTAATATTAAATATAAAATGCCCAATATTAGACATAAAAATATAAATGAAGCGAAAATACGAACATCAAGTATCAACTTTTACGGTAATCGCGATAATCGCAGCAATTCTCTTTCGGCTATAACATCACATCGAGTATACTCGAGTATAAATGTATCTTCGAGCAAAATTTTCATTAGATTTTTTTTAAGATTCTTGAATTATTACTGCTTTTTTGAGAAAAATGATTAAATTAAAATCATACATAAAACTTAATTGTATATTAATTTTAATTTTCTCGGCGATTACAGCATGTGATTGTATCTCTTTTTTCGCTAACTTCACATTAAACAGTCAGTGAATTCGAATAAATTGCTCTTCTGTTTTCATGTAAAATTTTCATTAGTTTTTTCCAGGATTTGTGTATTTTTAATATCTTTTTGGAAAAAATTATTAAATTATTAAAAATTATTAAGTACTTGGTTGTATATTTATACAACAATTTAATTTCATGCTTCAAATTTTGAATTGCATAAATCTTTTTCTACATAGGTATAAAAATAAGGTACACATAAATATTTGCCCGGATATTAATATTATAAAATGTAATTTCAACTATAATCTATTATTCAATTATAAATACCTATTAATGGTTTTATCACTTAATAACGATCATTTAAAAAATAATTTTACTTTACTTGATACTTTCGCGAAATATTTCAAACGTGTGTTGATGCTTATTCTAAACCAATTTCTTTTCTTTCAAAATGTATACATGTGTTGTGTATCCTTGTTAATAAAAAAGACAGACGCCATTCTTTCTTTCAATGACCTTTCAATGCCTTTCTTTCTCTTATTACCTTATTATTGTTCTCAAATAAGTATCGCTCGCTGATATATGTATTCGCGTTGCATCAATCATAATATCCGATAACGAGCTGTTGTTTCCGCATTGTGGCGGCCATATTTCCCCGTCGCACGCATACCTACGAGCGAGCATTTGTAATTACGCAACACGCATGCACGTGTGTATTCGCAGCGGGATCGAAGCAGCATTGTATTGTATGTAGCTTATTATTTCCGAAAATTCGATACCCATTTCGTCTTCGCCGTCAGTTTCGACAGCCGGCGCGAGAGCGCGCACTGTCGATGGCGCATGCGCCATACAGCTCGAACGTCTACCTATGACGTCTAGGAACAATTCGTTCTGAATGTGACGTAATTTGCCGCCCATGAATTTGAAACTGGCATCGATGTCGATTTGATTTTTTGTGTAAATTCAGCTTTTAATACTGTAATAAAAAACCCATTTTTTTTGCCAAGTTCCACTCTTACGTACAAATATAAATAACTTATGAGCGTAAACAACATCGAAATTTATTTCTCACCGGGATTGTAAACCTTTGTTCCGTATTTTCTAATAGGATAGACACGCGGTATATTAAAAAACAAATCGCTTCAAAGCATACATTTTCGTTCAAGAGAATTAATCGTTTCCTTCCAAAAATAATGAATGTAGTAGAAATTCCTTTAGAAATTGATTAATTACAGTTGAACGTAAGAAGAATAATCGACTATAATTGGTTCAATTCCTTAAGACTCGAGGCTTACTACTTCTATTGTGTTTGCGGGATTAAGAATTAGACTATTAGAAAATTTAAGAATTATTACATGCAATGATCTAGATGAATCACACGTTCCACACTTACAATCTTCAAACTTCTGCACTTTTCGTGACATATATAAATAACGCAAAAACGTTTTGATATTGTGCAAAGTAATAAAAAATATTTATTTAGATTGATTAAAATTTATCAAATTTGATAAAATAGAGATTTGACGTGAAAACATATTCGAGACGAATTTTTACAAAATGTTTGTCGGCGCAAGATTCAATTGTGAGAATAGCGATGACGAGATTGACAAGTACTGAATCGCGCCGTTCACTCACGCTTTTCGCGAGGCGCGACCGCCGTTCGCCGCCTAGAGAATTTTTCTGCCCGACGGCTGGCAACCTGGGATATCGATTGTCATTATTTATATCGTACGTTTCCTCTTCAGTCATCGATTCACTTTTTACATTTTACATTTTTACAGTAATGAGAGAGTTAAGTTTTTCCCACGGGCGTATGGTACTCTAAGTTAGCCCCCACATGTGTGATCATAGGTGTTGTTGAAGGGGAGTCGAGTGTGTGAAGAGAATGACGGATAGCCAGCAGCAGTTTTGCTTGCGGTGGAATAACTTTCAGGCGAACATCACGAGCCAGTTCGAGGCGCTGCGAGATGACGAGGACTTCGTCGACGTTACCTTCGCGTGCGACGGTAGGCGACTCCAGGCGCACAAGGTCGTCCTTTCCGCGTGCAGCCCTTACTTCAAGGAGTTGTTCAAGGTTAGAAAACCATTTTCTTCCCACTCCCCACCTTAGACGTACCCGTCCCCCTCCCCCCTTTCCCCCTGCTCCCTTCATCCGTCCTCCCCCTTTCGTCCTCCGGCGGCAGCCGCCCGCCCCCCTCCTCCTCCACCATCACCTCCCCTCCTACTCCTCCTCTCTCTTTCCCTATGTTTCGTCCCTCTCCCTCGCTCTCCCCTGGCAACTCTTCGCCCCTTTTTGCCCCCTTCCCGCTTATCCCCTGTTCACCCAATGAGCGCGCGCGCACATGTATGCTATGGGTGCGTATGTGTGCGTGTATATGTGTATATATATATATGTGTGTGTGTGTGTGTGTGTGTGTGTGTGTGTGTGTGTGTGTGTGTGTGTGTGTGTGTGTGTGTGTGTGTGCATGTGTGTGTGGATATGCCACACAACGTGCATTTCCTTCTCGATGAATAATTTCAAAATTACACAATACCTATTTACGCGACGACCTCTCACGCGTCTTATCTTTTTCGTCGAGCCTCTGGCTCATTTCGAAACGAGGCGTACTCGTGCGCGCGGTTACGTCACGACATGCATCTACTTTTCGCCCTCCGCCCGCGTCCCCTCTGTCCTCCCCCTGTCCTCCCCCCTGATTGTCCCAGCCTTTCGCGGCCGCGCTGAACAAAATTTATAATTGCTGCCCGGCAATTAACGCGCCGACCAGGCAAAGCTGGCAGAGGGAGTCGATAAACGACCGATGGCTCCGGCCGTATACGTTTGTTCAATGAATGGTGTTCGCGCTCTCTTGGAGACGAAATTATGCAACCGTAATTTGCTCTCTTATCTCTTTTATATATATATATATATATTTTTTTTTTTCACAAAAGAGATATGATTGAGTGCAATTACCTAATATGACATTACAATATCAGACTGAAATTATAAAGGAGGAGATAATGGATTATAGAAGATTTTAAAGATTTTTTGCGTTTTTTCTCATGTGATAATAAATCTAACTGAGCATTAAATATGGAAAACTAAATATATAAAATTTAATTATTAACTTAATAATGTTAGCATTTTTCCAAGAGATTTCTTATAGTATTATAATCATTTATGCGAAATCCAAAAAATGGTGAATACAGTTGATCTGATCAGATCATTATATAATATGTACTTGATATTTTTAAGAAAACAAATTTAATTATGATATGATAATATCTAACTGATATTTTCAAGAAAACAAAATTAATCATGGTAACTTTTTTCATAACTTTCTCATTTTGTTAATTTTTTGCTCTTTTGATAAATACTTTATAACATATGTTTGAAATTATTTTATAGCATGTGATTAATAATTTCATGGGATTTATTTTGCAGACCAATCCCTGCAAGCATCCGATAATTTTTATGCGGGATGTCGAATTCGAACATTTACAATCACTATTGGAATTTATGTACGCTGGAGAGGTAAATATTTCGCAAGCAGAGTTACCTACATTTCTACGTACTGCTGAATCTCTTCAAATACGTGGCCTCACCGACTCCCAAAGTAATCAGCACAACAACGAAAAGGTATATTTCATACACAAGTTTGCACATACATGGTATTTGTGTCATGCCATATGTACTAAAGTACATTATTTTTAAATTTGTAGCATTTGAAGACAAATAACATCCATGCATCAAATGGCCGTGATCTGATCTCGCCAAGCTTTGACGATGAACGCAGTAAAACTCCACCACCTTCAAGCCCTCCACCACTAAAAAGGCTGTGTAAAAGAAGTGATTCACCTCCAGTTTCTAGTCCAGTACCCACTGTGCCGCCTTGTGCTACCATTGCACCACGTTCGCGCCCACTTATCGAGCCTCAAGTTCAGCTCGATTGTTACAAAGATCTCGATATCGTTGAGGTATTTTACACTATATATTTACATATTTTTGTACGTTTTATGTATATACATAGAGATTTTTTTCATATGTTTACAATATTAATATGCACTCTATTTTCAGCCAAAAATAGAATTACCTGAATATGGCAGTGATGACGATTGCTCACCTAAACCGGAAGCTAATACATTACCCAGTGGATTTCTCAGCTTGGATAGTGGTATGGAAGTGTTACCATCTTATCCACCATCTTATCAAGGTATAATTACAAATTATTTTATTGAAAATTAAAATGTGAATATTTTGTAAAATCAATAAATGAATTGTTTAAATATATATTTTAATCTTTTTTTTCATACTTATTTGCTGTAAAAATATCAAATCATTAAAATTTATATATCTATTTTAGGAAACCAGAACGTAGAAGGAGGAATGCCAGGTCCATCACATGGGAGTACAGAATTGAATCAAGAACAGCAAGGTGAGTCAATATTTATTATTTTTTGGTAGTGCGAGCACCATTACAAACAGCAACAACCTAGCCATTACATCACAAATGTCAAATGTGAGTAAAAACAAGGAAGCAGAAAGGAATCTTGATGGTTTGAAATGGTAAGCTCGTGTGTAGCTCGGTAGCTCTTGGTAGGTGATAGGAGACATTTGACACTCGGAGGCTGTAACAGGCCTGAGTCCACAGAGTGCAGTTTGCAGTTAAGCAGCTGTGTTGTATGAACGTTACCGAAATAGCCCGGAAACTTGAATCATTAACAAGTCCTGCGTGTACATATTCAAAAACAACCCCATCCCTTTATGCTTTATAATCTTTTGTTTTCCTGCTTCATGTATATTAATGCATACATATATACATACACTAGATTGCCCTGGTAAAATGTTTAGTTCATTCATATAGAAAGAATAATTGCTTATTAAAAAGTTAACACTCAGACAATACTATAAACAAAGACTTATAATCATTTGCTTTTTTTATTACTAATTATAAATGCTATATTTACATGTGACAAGTTTTTAAATTGGCTTGTACATATTGCTTCGAATCGAATTAATATAATATGATATGATTAGTGTTATATATTTTTTGCATTATAATTACATTAAAATCGAGTTATTGATGAATAAAGCAAATGAAAGTGTAATATTTGGGATTGTATCTGTAATTTCTCTGTAATGTTGTACATCTTATATTGACATATTTATGTTTTCCATTCACATAAAATCATTTTAGATTGCCACCTTTTTGCTTATAAAATCAAATATTATAATTAATCAAAATTTTTATTTATTCTTCGAGTGATCTACAACTAATAAAGGTTATTATGCTACCACATATCAAAATAAATTACGAATCTGTGTCTACATGTCTGTAACAATGTTTAATCTTCTATTTAAAAACATTATGTGTTACATAATAGAAAAAAAATTAAAGATGTACAGTAAACATGCCAAACAAGATTTTCACTAATTTACTGATTCTCATTATTCATCGATTCATGCTTACCATTGTTTTCAAACTATATGTTTTTTCTTACTGCATTACCATTGTTTTGTCTGCCAAACATATTTGACTCATCGCATCCTTGCAAGTGATACTCTTGCGGGGGGATCCTTTTTGTACTGTACCGTGCAGGCAGCAAAAATTGGGTAGCGCTAAATAGGGTTGTTTGCTGGTTGTTGCTGTCCTGTGGTGGGTGGTATCATTCTGATATTATACGTGGTGTGACAAGGCGTGGTGCTATGTTGTGGTAACGTGCAATGCTGTGGGCTGCTACCGGTTAGAGCAAGTTGTGTGTGTGTTGCAGCTGACCTGCGTAAACTGCACTCGCTGGACCCACGCCCCTGTCCTGTGTGCAACCGCATGTACAGTAACTTGTCCAACCTGCGGCAGCACATGCGCCTCATCCACAACCCTCAGAGTGTCACTTGCCCTCTATGTAACAAGCCATTCAAGACCAAGCTGTACCTGAAGCGTCACCTGGTCAGTTTCCACGAACTCAGTGTGGCAGACAGGCAACGTCAGGAAGAGATCTACCAACATCAAGTTAAGGTTCAGGTCCAGGGACAGGGACAGGGACAAACGCAGGTTCAGGGAGGAGCTCAAGCTCAGACTCAAACACAAGTTCAGGCTCAAACACAAGCTCAGATTCAAGCTCAGACTCAGGTGGATAATAAGGTGCTTTTAGCGGCTCCTGCACCACCTACTCGGAGTACTCCCGAGGAAGGTGGGGCTAGCGGTGGTGGGAACACCACAGAACCAAAGCTCAGATCGTATCAGGCACAAGCTGGCGATAATGCTTATTCGGTAGAGGTAGCGCAGATTGGTGATTCAAAGCATTTTGCTAGTGGGATGTTGCAATTCGATGCTACGTATCACTAATGTGTGTACAGGATTTATTTATTTTTTAATCTATCGCGCCCAGTATCATTTTGTGATATAGTAATGAATCGAGTTTATCTTTATTGTTTAGTGAACTTGTGATTCAATAGGAAACGTATCTTCGTAGTTGACCGACAAGTAGATAGAAATAACGTTACGACACAAGGCTGATTCCGTATTTAATAATCAGGTCCTGCGCACTCAAGTGCGCAGATGTATAACTTATAATTTTTAATCTTTTCAAATGCATATTCAATTCTTGTCGCACGAACACGAGTGGAGGACAAGATGTCAAATCCGATTGACGGTCGCGTACTTCATTGTTTTCGTCCGTAATAAGACGCCTACATAGATCATTCGAATGATCATTCATACGAAGGTCGACAGTGTATATAGGTTTGGGAGACTAGTTTACATATAAAAGTCCCGTGCCTATTCATCGTAAAGATGAACGCTGATGAGGGAGAGACTAAAATGCCGATGGTGGAGCAGCCATCCCACCTCGTACTGATAATTCTGCAGCCGGATACTTGTTGTTTTATTTAATGCTATACAGTGTTATACAGACTACAGATATTTACTACAATATTATATTCTTACAGAGGATTATATTTACTTTATTATTGCAACGCAATGTGCAATGACATAGCTCGTACATGATATATTTTTCACATGCATACATTGCAATATACAGCCAATTGACAGCTCAACAGAGTAATAATATTTATTATTAACAGAGTTATCAACAAACCGTGATCGCAATAATGCAGCAGATTGAATTTAACAATATATAATAAGAAGGCAATGTCTCTGCTGGTTTCTTGTTTTTAAATGTGGAAGGCTTGTCTTTCAAGTACTTCTACCTCAATGATATATATATTTATGAAAATAGTATAAGGATGCTTATTTTATTTTTTATTATCGTAGACAGATTTATACATATAGAGCAATTGTAATATACTCTCATGATATATTTATAATAAATATATCTAAGTTACATTTTTGAATTTGTATTTAATTTTTGATTTACTTTAATCGGGAAACGATTTTTCTTTTTTTTAATATTTTAAATATTAAATCACAGTATTTATGTATCAAGAAATATTTTGCACCAGCTTTATACATGTAGCAATAACTTTGTAAAAGAGACGCTATATGTACTTTACAGGAAGGAAAAGGTTTTTTTTTGGAAATAAGTATTACATATTTTATAAGATTTTTTTTTAAGATTTGGTATTAATATGCATTTGTTGTAATTTCAATATATGTATATATTTTTATTTTTGCGATGATTCCGGTAATCATCCGTTTCTGCCTTTTTTTATCTTGCACGCAACTTGCTTCTGTTATTTTTTAATAGGATATTCAGTTTCAGCTTTCTATAAAAGTAAACCAGCATAGATATCTGTCATACAATTCCATAGCCATAGTACCACACAGTACAACTCAGGATCTTTTATATTATATTTTACAGATGACAATAGTTCCATAAGTACGATTTATAATAACGATTCTAGGAAATGGAGCACAGAGTATGTTGCCTAGAATCGTCACTTTTTATAAGTCGTACCATTCATATAACAGGCTCCTTACCTCACATACAATCAAATTACTAAACAGATGCAGCTATATATTATTATAATATATTTACATACAACAACTTACAATAGTACTGGGACGTTGCAACGACTGCAACTAACACAGATTGCCGATATTATACAAACGGTTTTTATTATCTGTTATTACATTGGTAAGTGATTGCAATGTTTTTTTACAAGTTAAACATACATACTACGAATATACATTCAAGATTTTTGTTTACGATATGAATGGATGCCCAGCACAACTGACAATTAGTACCGAAATAAGATTAGATTATAAATGTTGCATATCATATTATAATATTGTTATACATTTGCCAAGCAGTGTTACATTCATCAACTCTCAGGCTTCGGATCATATACAGATTTCATTTTGCTTCTTTCAATACTAAATAGTGTTTCTTTTAATGTATTTTTATTATAATACCATACATATATATTATATATAATGTATAATATTACATTATATGTAATGTATATACAATTACACAGATAACAATCCAGCTATTGATTTGTATAATACAATATCTTGTAGAACAAGAGAGAAAGACAGATATTTTTTTCTATTTTATTTGATGAAGTATCACATTTTTCATTCTACTACTAATTCGTTTTATGTGTTTTATGTGTACTGTTTAACAGTAAGTAATCTACAATAGATATTTAAATAAGTATTATTTATATTATTAAATTATTTTTAGTATTTGCTTTTAATCATTTTGATATCCACTCGATCCTTTGCCTGAGATCCATATACTGTGTATATCAGAGTGATGTGTTACAGAATGTCACATAATAGTAAGCATCATTTGACAGGCCGGACTTCGCTGGGCATTAAAACCGGTTATCTAGCTAATATCACAATACAATTTCAAACACTCACTGTTATAATTGCGATTATATTACGAATTCAAATGGTGTGCAAACATTCCGAAGCACGGAGACAGCAGAGAACAGAAAACAAGAAAAGTAAAAAAAAAAAGAAAGAGAGAAAACAAAAAAGAAATGGAACGATAATATTATCGATTGAACGAGCACACTTACAGCTAATAGAAAAAAAAACTCGCAAAGAATTTTGCATAGTATTTTTTGGGTCTAACAATGCAATTTACCGTATATTAAATGAAGAGGGATATTGGCGACATATGTACACATATGCCGTGAGAAGTATCTCTTAGTGATGAAATACGAACAGTACTTGCCATTTTTCCAAAAGAACTCGATGAGTAGGTACAGCAAGCTCACTGGAAAAAAAAGTATCTTTTGTCTGCGATAATAAGTTTTAACTTTATCCTACTGCGATTTAGCATTTGTATCATGCGTTGTTACGATTATTATTGCTATTACAATAACTACTACCGCTATTATTATCAATATCAATACCACCATTACTACTACTATTACTACTACTATAACTATTACTACTACTATTACTACTGTCCTACTACGATTACTATTATTATCACCGTTAATCCAAAAAATTTTGGACGCATGTATATTGTCTCGAGAAAGCTTTATGTTCGAAAAAAACATATATCAGTTTCCTGCAACGTGCGTTACGACATGCGTTGCTTTTCACGGTCATGAAAACCATTATCTTTTAGCGCATTTAATTATGTGTTGTATATATGTAAATTATTATGTAATTTGTATGCGCGACACAAAAAAAAAGATAAC